GGGGTGGGGGGTGAGAGACCACGGAGGGGTACAATAATGTTCTGCACGGAGTTTTGCACTTTCAATTCCCTGCCTTTTAATTAGACATCAAAAAGGAAGTTTCTCGAAGGTACAATCACCGTTCTCTCTAATGTTTTCCTTTTTTTAACACTCCTTTCCTCGTCCTCCCTCTCGCACATCATTATGAACACGCCGTTAGTATTCATAAGCACTTTGCCTTATTCACTCGCTGCGCCTCGCGACCATATTGGTTGCGTGCCATGTGGTTATGAACTCCACACTGACCAACACTCTTCCAGTCCCTTCCTTTAAAAAAAATTCCTCCCCCCGACGATTTTCAGTAACATTATCTCCAAGCACGAAACTTACATACACCCTCCTCTCTCCCCTTCATTTACAAAGGCTAATACAACGCGAGGGCGAAAATATTTTTTTGTATGTGTTATCATCCCCTACATATCTCAGAAAGTGTGACTTTGTACTAAAACGCAAAGCTTCCTCGGACCCCCTTCCCTCTTCTGAATGCAGCCGTTGGTGCTCTGAATAACTTCCTGATAGAATCAAGAACGCTGATAAAACTTCTGCGTTATGAAGCAAGTTCGTGTGGAGACTGAGAGGGGGTGACGTGTGAAAAGATAAATAGACCCATGTTGTACATTGCCCCCTCAGAGATGATCCGTTCTTGTATCACTAGTCGTTACATGTGACGGCTGTGCAAACAAAGATGGGACAATTTAATGGTCAATGTATCTCACTGTGTTGTATAGCAAAACAATATATTGTCAAGATTAATGAAAACTAACTACTATTTAAATTCTCCCCTTTACATTACTCTAATCACTAATATTTTCAGTCTGTTATTTGTAGGTAAAAATTACCTTGACAGACCTCTTTGAAAGTTATATTTGTTATAAAGTCAAAAGAATATATATGTGTCTACAATTTTGAGAATTTAGAAAAAAATTAAATATTTTAAAACGCGTTATTTTACTAGTCATATGTCTCTGTAGTTTGTCTCTAAATTCTTGCATATACAAACGCATTTAATTAATTAAGACAGAAGCCCACAGTAATTTCATAGTCAGTCAAAATTTTTCGAAATTAATTTTTAAATCGTGGTGGGAATTAAGGATTATAACAAGATATTTACAATAATTACAGTCACAGTAATATTTACGGGTCGTTGTTCTGAATCTGAAGTAATGTATTATGATCAGAATACATTTTAAAAATTATCGCCTACAGCCCTGCTTCTGTCTTGTAAAATATATATTAAAAGGCTAGAATTTCTTTGCATGTGCGTACAGCATATGAAAGTGACTGACAGAAACACACAAAAGATGAGAATTAACACCAATTTGTCACCACAGAAAAATACAAGCACAAACGCTCACGTATATCTTGGAACTTTGAAAAGGACAAGTCAACAAAAGGGGCTGAAGACCGAGTGTCCTAGCACCGTACAGTCCAATCCTATCACGTCTTTAACAAAGCATTTTCTTTCACCAAAGTCTCTAAAGAGGTTTTTTCCTTTGAATTTTTATAACGCTATGTTTTCTTACGAAGTTTCGAGATTCTTCGAAGTTACGGATCAGAGCCTAAACAATTTTCAGTTAGTCCATTCCTGCAGTTAACTTCAATACCTACTACCCTCTAGAACAGTGGTATTCAACCTGGGGTACGCGAAGACATCTTAGGGGGTACATTAAATTTAAAAAATATATATATTATTCTATGATAAACACTGAATAATCAGTAATGTAATTTATTTAATTTATTTTAGATGTAGATTATATACTATGTATAACTTGAATTATACTCCAACAACTTTGGGGGTACAAAGTTGAAGATAAATTATATCTGGGGGTACGTGAAATTTTAAAAAATATATTATTTTATAATAAACACTGAATAATGAGTAATGTAATTTATTTAATTTATTTTAGATGTAGATTATATACTATGTATAACTTGAATTATACTCCAACAACTTTGGGGGTACAAAGTTGAAGAGAAATTATATCTGGGGGTACGCGAAGACATCTGAGGGGGTACGTGAAATTTAAAAAAAATAATATTATTTTATGATAAACACTGAATAATCAGTAATGTAATTTATTTAATTTATTTTAAATGTAGATTATATACTATGCATAACTTTAATTATACACCAACAACTTTGAGGGTACAAAGTTGAAGAGAAATTATATCTGGGGGTACGCGAAGACATCTTAGAGGGTACGTGAAATTTAAAAAAATATATATTATTTTATGATAAACACTGAATAATCAGTAATGAACGAAAACTGCAATACAATTTGGGCTGTAGGATTGAATGTTTTATCAGTATATGACATAAAATGAAATTATAAAGGAAAAAATTAAGGTCGCCCTGATATTGGAGGCAGAAGGAGACTCGGAAACGTCGGTAAGCTTCTACGAGAATACACGGCGCTACAACTCTGAAGACAGACATCTTTATGCTCGCTTCCGTGAGAATCTTAAATCATTCTAAGTTAAAGCTTAATTGATAAATAGAAGGAAAATTTCTACGGACAGAAGTGGTTAACCTGTGTTCACAGAATGTACGAAAACGCGCTCCAAATATTTTCTCTTCAGTACAAACGCGATGTAAACAGATACACCTAAAGACGGAGCCGTGCAGCTTCGAAGAAGGTATCTAACATTTGCTTTGTCACTACAGGTAAAATTTAAATCTGCACGCATTGGTTTCATAGTAGTTTACTACAGATAAAATTTAATTCTGCACGCATTGGTTTCATAGTAGTTTTCAGAGATAACGCTCAAAGATATAACTATCTCTCTCTATGATCATTTCCTAAATCCTATGTTGATAACAAATTCATTAATCTGTTTCCTAGTAATGGTTCTTGCGTTATTTATTTAATCATATGTTTCTGGTGCAGTATTTAATCCATATGAAATTCGTTTTAGGCCGCTTGGACACTGATTTAACCGACAATGTAAAATATTATTTTGCAATCTCGTGTTTGAAATCACTTTTTAAGTTGATACAAACAGATTCAGTAATTATTGTCGAGAGGTTATGTCTGTCCTCCTTCGAAACTAATTTTGATTTCATTTGATATTTTGTGTACGCACTAAATGTTTTAGCTTCAAATATTTTTATTTCTGTAGGTCGAATATAAAACTTGATTTACGTGCCCTCAAATGTTACGTTATAAAATTCACTGAGAAACAACAAAATACTCGCTTGCAATATAAAAACTTAAAATTTTATTAAGATCTGTAACCTTTAGTGTGAATACATTCCGAGAAAGGAAATATTTTACGATATTCAAGGATAAATAATATATCGCTTCACAGTGCTCAGGAAAGATCAAAAACATAATTTAACGATGTAAAATGTGCCATTATTTCTTGAAAACAAACTTCAGTCACTAGAGTCCCTCTTGAAAGAAAAAAAATTTTCTCAGGTGTCGAGAAATTCCCCTCAGTTCATTGAATTCAAATGTTACCGTGTTTACAACAGCGAGCCACTAGCCACTCTCCAGATGAATTAAATCTACCTCTTCTTGCCCTATATCTTTAAGATTTACATTAATTTTTGCACTCTTGCGTATTCATAGATCTTCGAAGTAGTTTCTTCCTTTAAAGTTTAAATTTTATCTCATGCGTGCTAAACTCCTCGTCCATCTTATCCTGCTTAATTTGTTCATTTTATTATGTTTAAACATAAGTTTAACTTTCAGCAAAGGAATATCCTTACGAATAAATAAATGGTTTCTATTTCTGAGGCATAAATAAATAATTTTTGTTCTCAGTATATTGTTGCCCTAAATTTATGAGGCATAAATAAATAATTTTTTGTTCTCAGTATATTGTTGCCCTAAAAAGTTGTGTCAAAACTAGATCAAACGCCAACATCAGTTAAATGGATCCTTTGTATAAAACACCCGGCGTGCTGTAATGCTAATCATAACTGCCTTTGGATTGTGTAGTAGAAAAATTACTCCAGTAATTGTGGTAAATATAAATGTTCTTACCACGATAAATTAAATTATATACTTCAATTTTCATGAAATTTTGAAATACTATATAGAAATTTTATTGAAATTTTGCATAAAGACATTATAAAAATGAATTCGTTGTTTAAATTGTGTTGGTAGTCTTCAAATTTGAGCTTTAATACCAGAAGCTGCCGGGGCAGACGGCAGTGCGAGGGAGCGTCGCGCATCTAAATTGGCGTCGGATCTTCTTATGATTAATAATCCACGGCCTGTGAACTCCCAGGACAGAGAGCATCAGACGTGACAAAATCTCCAGCACCGTAGAATTCTCGTAGAATTCTAACTATTGGTCTGAACGAGGCTGCGCGGTTGAAACACAATTTCTCACATTCTGTTGCCCTGAATTAACGTACGCAAAAAATCAAGGATTATTTGCGTTGTATGTAGAGACAGAGTTTCAGTTACACCAAGACCGATTTTTTGTGTCCTAGTAGATCTGTCAGACCGGCTACCAGCTGGACAATGAAGATTCATATCCACCAATGACATTTATTCAACTAGCAGTAATTAGTGTGACTGCACTGTCGTGCATATAATATCTCAGACCCTCTTGATGTTAACATTGCTCTTACAGTGTATTTACCGCTGAGTAAGACCGTAAAAGTGAAGTTTGTCCCACTATACGCCATGTATACCCTTGGGGGGAGAGGTGGTATAGCTCCTACTAATTCTAAACCCAGGCACTAGATGGGATGAGTGGTTAGAGTCACGTCCCGGCCGGCTTTACCCCCGGGAAAGGACCCCGGTACCCATTGTACGCCCAGAGCCGGTCTGCACGCAGAGGCTAGAGGAAATATCCCCCAGTAGGGGTTCGAACCCCGGTCGTCCAGCCCGTAGCTAGTCACTATATTGACTGAAATGAGAGGGCTCATGAGTGAGACTGTACTTTCTAATAAAACACTCTGTATCCCGTGATGAATAAATGTATTGTTATCCACAGTCAGCTGATCTCATAATCCGATACACTGACAATAATCCTCAGAACATATGTGACATGAAACATATAAATTAATGCGGAGTTTGACAAAACAAACAGTTGAAATAACGAAAAGGAGCTCAACAGTTCAGACTCTGGTAAGTTTTCATATCATTTATAGTAACCTAGTTAACTAACTAACTGTCTATACGTCGACTGGTCAGGAAATTTCTCATTTTATGGTACCCGAAGTTGATTACTATTATCACAAGAATCCGCAATTGGACCCTCACACGAATTCAATCCAGACTTTTAGAGGGAATTTGTTATATTTCATAAAATTTTGGTTTTACCCGCAAAGACAAACTGGAGGCTACAGCTTTAACTGTGAAAGTACCGATCACTCAAGAAAGTACGTGGAAGATGGATTGGAAAGTTGGCATTCGAATACATTACATGTTTTTCCAGATCCGTACCGACCAAAAATATAAAATATTTCACCTTGATGTTAATAACCAACTAGGGGAGGGGAGGACAAAGCGAAAATGTAATATTCTCTGGTACTGTTAATTACGAACAACACGTACTAGGATTTTTTTAGTCTCTTAATCTCTTAGTACACTGCAGTGAAAGAAAACAGTTTATGATGGAGACAAACGAAACCAGAGGAAGTGTTTAGTTTTCCAGCGAATTGACAACTAATTCTAAAAATAATTGTTCAATCTTTCGCATTTTATTTTAGAACTTGTTTGTAACTGTTAATCCATAAATGCTGCATAAACGACAACCTTTGAAGTTTTGAACTAAGAGAAAACACGAACCTTATTTTGGAATGCACAAACGATAACCTTTGTAGTTTTGAATTAAGAGAAAACACGAACCTTATTTTGGAGGGAATAAACCACATTTTAACAAATATGGCGCCTTAGGGGAAAGCGAAAGGATTTCCACTTTGACTCAATTGCAATGAATACAATTGAACAGAATAATCAGCTATTGAAATGCAGATAAATGCCTAATGTTTCTCCGTCACGTGTTAAGGCATTTTATCCATAAATGTGATCAGAAATTCGGTGTAAACATAAAAAGGACGCTAGAACGGAATATCTTAAATGTACAAGACATCCCATAATTGTTTCAAGTTAAATGACGGAATAACGTTGAATTTTTTTTTTAATTTCAAGTAGGTGAGACAGTGAATGCAAAGCGAATTCTGAAAACGAGATTTAAATAATATTTTAGGCTACTATTTCCGGATAATTAGTCTTAATTCAAAATAAGCCACTCGTCATTCATCATTCTTCATGGAAACGTTCTTCCAATTATGCACATCGAAGTGAATTTAGACGAAAGGTACCCAAGATACTTAGAACAAAATAAGAGGAGAGTCATTTGACAATAATAAAGCGGAGAATGCATGGGAAAATGGTAAGTGATACTTCATAAAGTAACACATACATACATATATTAATAATTTGCGTAAAACGTGGAAAAGTAATTAAATTACAATGCTGTTACTGAACCTAGACCTCCTAAATCTTGCCGTACTTCGTGTAAACAATTGTAAGTTTGTGTTCCAGAACCATGCGAGCAATAGCTTTTCTGTATGTGCTGTCGTGGTGTAATCTACTACGAGTCAGTAGATGTGCTGACACTCAACTACCATGTGGTGCGTCATCACGGAAAACCAACTTCAAGTTCTCCGTCATTAGTCGCCGAAACCTGACAGGGAATTGGATAGCCCATGTAAGTAGCAGCCATTTGTTTCTTACTTGCAATGACACTCGAGGAAGTTTCTAGCTCAGGAAACTCTTGAGTGACAAGAACTCATTGGTTCACATGTTCCAATGTGCCCCATTGTACTTCCATTTTGACTACCATCTCAATGGAAAGAAAGCAGTTGTTAAGATATAAATATTCTATTAAATTTCGTACTAGAGTTCTTTCGGGAAACATGTGATTGTTACACTGTCAGACGGTCTTTCTTTAAAATATTACAACAATAAATTTGAGGTAATTGTTGCAGCCAGAGATGAATTTTGTCAGTTCAATCTCGGACGGATGCAGAATAAGATTATGGTGGATAATTTGACATTGCTAATAAAACTTATTGATATCCATTTATTTTTTTCATGTGACCTGACAAACTATGTTATTACAAATAATAAAATTATTTGAGACAAAATTGACGAAATTTGATATGATAATTGTTTAAAGCCGATAAAGGCATTTAAACGACAGAACTTACATAGCTCGTGGAAGGTAAATTAGGACACGTACGTATCAAAACTGAGAAATCATATTTTATTTAGAGTATTTATTCAAGAATTTTATCGAATATAAGTAAGGAAACCCACAAATATATCAATTAAGTTAATTTATACCCAGATCGATTATCGAGTTGAATTCTTCCCAAATGCAATCAGAAAAGGGCACAGTCATGTGATTCCGTGTCCAAATGTTTACAGATGTCTTTAGAACATGACGATGGTCCAGAGTCAGGACAGTGGGAAGTTGACATTGACCACACAACAGTGACGTGTGATGGCAGAAGATCAATTCTTGTAACGAATACCGTAGTAGGTAAGTGAAAAGATTTTAGACGGAATTCCTTTGAGAACTACAAAAATAAAGTGTCACTATAAACCACTGGAGAGAAAGTAACGTCTGTTAATTTTGCAACAATTTTATCTAAGAAAAATTCTGAATGTACGCAGAATTTTTCTTTATTGTACCGAGAAGCAGAGATACATAAACCGAGGTTCTAAAAAAAGATTTTCTTAACCACAAGGCCGCCAACAAGAGTCTTAAAACAATCCAAAATCCCAGTAATGCAGTTAAAGGTATGTATATTTACGTGTGGGATTGCTGAAGTCATGTTATGTAACGATACAAAGTTTGATCTGGAGTGAAATTTTGCAAGAAAACTTATAATGCATTGCATCAAATATCTAATAGTTTTTAAAATATTTTAAATTGATAAAAACCTGAAGACGACGGTATTACCCGTCGAAACATGTCGTTTTAATAAAAGCACTAAAAAATATAATGTATAATCGTATTTACGATTAAGAGCGCTAATATAATATTTTACACAACAAAATGTTTTAATATTATATAATTTTTACAACACCAATAAACTTCAAACGTTTGTGTATAGACTGTACAAAATAAATATATAAGAAAACTTTAGTTTCTCAAATTTCCGGACATTTTGTTGCAAGGCAGAAAGTATAACGAGACGAAGACAATGATTTATGATAAACGATGGAATTTAGTGTTTATACGAAGTCTGTCCTTTATAGTTTTAGTACGTATACAAACAAGGCGGTTTTCCTTTGATTTGTGATGAAGCAGTTTTATGTTCTAACGTGCATTAGAACTCAAAAAAATACTTTTCGTTTCAGAAACAATGTTCAATGACATTATCATGATATTTGTTTTCTTATAGCTATTAAAATTACATTAATTGTCTGTTTTATATATTACGCTATTGTATTTATGTTTATTGTATCAAATTTTGTATCCATCAGAAAAATTTAGCTAAAATGTTGTGCTGTTGACATGTTATTTATGTGGTGCTTGGCGGACATTTGTCGAATAACAGCGACTTCTCCAAAGGTGTGTTAGACTTCAGCGTTATAAATAAAAAAACGGCTTATAGGACAGGGTGGAGAGAGGAGGACATTTAGAACACAGACGTACAGGTAAGCTGACTCCATATTTCAGATCATCGCTGTGGGTTACGTCATAATAGAACTACAGCTGATCACATTTTCTACATTCGCCAGATACTACAGGAAAATTGGGAGTACAATGGGACAATCCATAAATTATTTATATACTTTAAGAAAGCCTATGAAAATTTTAAAAGAGAAGCTCTTTAAAATACTTTGCTTGAATTTGGTGTGCCTTAGAATAGTGGTATTCAACCTGGGGTAGGCGAAGACATCTTAGGGGGTACGTGAAATTTAAAAAAAATATATTATTTTATGATAAACACTGAATAATCAGTAATGTAATTTATTTAATTTATTTTAGATGTAGATTATATACTATGTATAACTTGAATTATACACCAACAACGTTGGGGGTACAAAGTTGAAGAGAAATTATATCTGGGGGTACGCGAACAAAAAAGGTTGAATACCAAAAAAAAAAAAATATATATTATTTTATGATAAACACTGAATAATCAGTAATGTAATTTATTTAATTTATTTTAGATGTAGATTATATACTATGTATAACTTGAATTATACACCAACAACTTTGTGTTCAAGCTAATCTAACTCTTTATTTTTACCACCAATTACAAGCTGCCTGATTAAACAGTGACATTGATATTATCAGCACACATTTTTATTACGTTCCATAGACGGTATATATATTAAATATTGAATAATACAGGCGTAAGAAACTGCCCTCAGGGAGTCCTGCCAGGACGTTTAGGAGATTCAGAATTTTTCAAGGACAACTGTGAATGCTCTATTATTAACAAAATTATTTACAATATGTATAAAATGAACAAGTATTCTGTGAAGTTATTCCGTACTGCAAGGAAATATGACACTTCGCGTTTACATATATCATCCGGTTAATGATGTTTAACGAAATAACCTATGTCTAGAATGAAAACGTTATTGTTATAATTATTATCCTGGAAATAATATCACAATATATTTATTACAGATTGCAGCACTCTATGATTGAGCTGTCTTTTAGTTTTCTGATTTTCAATTAAAAGCACAGTTTTAGTCAACACGACAGACGACAGATGTAATATGAACTTTATTTATCTCGTGACGAAAGTGGCTTTTTACAGCGCCCCTGGGAAAACCTGCCCCCGGCTACGAACTTGTGCCTGGATTAGGATACTACAAATTTTACAAAATCGGAAAGAGTTGGTGGGAGGCGCAGGCCACCTGCGTCGAGGAAGGGGCTTATCTCATCATTCCAAATTCTGATCAAGAATTCGAAGCTGTTAAGAAAATTTGGGATCGCTTTCCTAGTCCTTACACTGACTGGAGGAAAAACCACGTGTTCATGGGCGTTAGCGACATCGCAAGGGAGGGTCACTTCATGTCCGTTCTGGGTAAGTACCGAAACACACAGAAAAAAATCTGTTATCCTTTAACTTTTCGTTTTCTCCTGTACGGTTATTATTTCTTGACATTAACCTGTCAGAATTCCTCTCTCTTCAGGGAATAACACGTAAAACCACAGATTCATATTCTTACCTGGGTGGTATTCAAATTTGATTTCAGAGACTGAAATGTTTAAGACGGCCCGCGGAAAAGAATTTATGCATTTGAATGTACTTACGTTACCCCTGAAGTGAGTTGTAATAGTGTAGTAAAATCAAAGATGATCATCATTTTATTTAAGATAAACTCCTTTAGAATTTTCAGTTACACAATTAACTTGCACTGAACAATTTTGTGTAGAATTTCACTGTATTCCAAAGAGTGAATATATACAATAGTTTTCTGTAACAAAGTATTAACTGTGAGATTAATCGAAAGGAATTTTCGAGAAATCAGTCCTGGTGTATTTGATAGTTCTGAAAGACCGCTGGAAAATACGAGAAATATAAATATTTAAAATATATTAAATGATGTTTCGATAGAGAACATCATTTAATATATTTTAAATATTTAAATGTTAATTATGGTAATATTTTAATATTTAATAGGAATTTTATTGTGATTAGACTGATAAGATTTAAACAAATAAACATTAATGGTTAGCTAACAGGAACCGGTCCTCCATTTTAGATGTTCTCCATGTGGTTAAAAAACAAGTTATTTTAAAATCACCTCCATGAAAAGTGTTTATACTCTTTGTCCAAAGAACTGATAATAAATACGACTGTCTTATGGCATGTTGAAACCAGAATGTAATCGGCTTTAACACGCGGTAAGAACCTGAAAGCTCGCCAACACATAATAAACCAAATAATTAAAACCAAATGCTTGGCTGCAGTCTTGATTTTCAAAGTCTCGTCTTACTGAAGAGGATGTGTGGCGTGGTTCAATGTTCCAGGCGAAACGCTAAATTCTACAGGCTACTTGAGGTGGTCATCTAATCAGCCGGACGGGGGCAGAAATGAGGACTGCCTCGTCCTGACGGTGAACTCCTTTCTGCACGATACAGCCTGCGCTGCTGAAGTGGCCTTCATCTGCGAGCGAGGGCTGTGAATTTGAGGCTTAAGTTTACTTGCAGCTGGGAAAGTACACAATTCTTACGTAGACCAAGATTAACTAATTTTATGGAGGAAAGTCTTGCATGAGAAGCTAATAGTAGCTCATCTGGCCAATAAAATCTCTTCTTATAAAACGTGAAGGTTTATTAATATGCTCACTGTACTTAATTCGGAACCAGGTTAATCCAATCCACATCTGCTACTTTAGGGTCTGTATTAATATTATCCTCAAATCTGTTCCTAGATTCCTGAAGAAATATTTTCACTTAAAGTTTTTCGTCTAATATTTTACATGACATTTTCTTTATTATTAAATAATGATAATGATGCCCTGTACTTTATAATGCTCTGCTCATACATTGCTTTCTCAATCTTCGATCCAACATCCATAAAATGTTGTTCTCATTGCCCTCAAGTTTTTCTTGTTCACAGGATTTCGCTGCTCGACTTTAATGTAAACTTAGGCTTCCGGCTCATATTTCTGTTGCCATCTTCAGGGTAAATGTATTTTGGGGATTTAGGAAATAGGCAGTTTTGTGTCGAGTGGAATATCTGCAAAACAGAAATTGTGTAATACAGTTCTAAGATACCAACTGGTTAGAAAAGTTTGTACTGAGGTACTGGTTGAAAAGATATGATGGGAAGGAAACAATTTTTCACTCACGTGTTTCGAAAAGGGTGTGACATTTTTATTCTGTCAGGATTACAGACAAAAGTTTCATAAGCATACAAAATGTTTTGTTTATGGATGTATACAATTCTGAGTATGAATTCAAACTGTGATGATTACATGATATATTGTATCATGTTAGCCTTAGGCACGACAGGTATATAACAACTAATCCACGTCAAATTATTTTTGTTTCCCGTGTTTTCTCGGCGCGCATTAAGACTGTAGAAAGCGCCTGAAGGACCTCACATATTCCCTTCCCAGCCTCCAGAGTCTCTCTCTCCTCTGCAACAACATTCGAGCGTCTACGACATGAATGCGTAGAGGAAGCTTAGTTGTAATTACCACAATGTCGGATGATGCTAGGGGAGTATTTTGTGTGTAATGTTTTGGTATTAGTTGGCGGTGGTGTCGAGTCAACAAAGGTTGGAGGGATGTTTACCTTGTTTCCACCCCCATCTATTCATCATCTCTCACCACCCACCACTATTTCCTTCAACCCCTCCGTTTAAACTGAGTAAGTTGAATAATGGTCTGAAAACACGTGTATAAATATTCAGTTTAGAGGTAAAATGTCCTCATATCATGCGAACTGTCTGTTTTAATCTTCTATTTGTTTAGGGATACTGTATCGTATAATTTTTATAGGGAGTTTCTTTGATAACATGAACCCTGGTCCTCCTTTCAAGTATCGGCTTTCTCAGTTCGATTCACGTCTGCGTTTTCAAGAAGTCGGTGGACGTATTCGGATGTGAAGTGTTAGGATGTTTACAAATATAAAATCAGGAGAATTATCACATTTTTAAAGGTTTTAACTGTAAAAAACTGTCTTTTATTATACAATTTTTTTAATATATCCCTTAAATATAATAAGAACTTCATACATTTCGATTATACACTAACAAATTATAATTACAATCATTCAGAAGCTAAGAGCACATTAAGTTTGAGAAATTATAATTCAGTGTAATAACTGGATGGTAGTAGGTCTGGTTGAAATTTACTTTTAAGTTTTGTCATACATAAAATATCGCACGATTTATTCGTGGACTAACGGCAAGGTTCGTGTTATTAGTTACACTGTTATCGTGAACATGAGGCCAGAATGCGTTGTGGTTTCAAGCAAGAGCTAGTTGGCATTAGAAACCCCGAGAATCCGTTCAGCCTTAAGACTTACAAATTTGTTCCATTATCTTAGATAAGATGAAGCAAATCAAAAGTTTCTTAGGTTTTCAAAATTTAAAAATAACATTGTAATTGAATAGAATAATTAAAGCCTTTTTATCGTAGTACAAGATGTGAAGAGGAGAATCAGATACAGCTTAATATAAACTATTAAATATGATCTATGTAATTTCTCAAAAGCCTGTCAAAGTTGAGTCATATCTTCAATTGCTTCTAAAATTCGGTTCCAAAACTCCCATCTCTTCCCGGTTCATATCCAAAGAAAGAAATAAAATGTAGAACACTATAATTCTACCTGTTCCTTTACGCGGGTGCCAAATTTCGATTCTCGCCCTAAGAGAAAATTATAGTTTGAAGAATTTGAGCGGAGAATTTAGACCTAAGGGGGGGGGGGAACTTCACTAGTATGAATTTTATACTCTGTTGTTTGTTGGAGCATTTCTCTTATCGAAATTACCTTAGGGTGGCTAATAAGTCCTTTGAAAGGGGGACAAAGTTCAAATATTTGGGAACAACAACAACAAATGAAAATGACACTCGTGAGGAAGTTAGGAGGAGATTAAATTCCGGAAATGTTTCCTACTTCTCAGTTCAAAATATTTTGTCTTCCCGTCTGATTTCTAAGAACCTGAAAATTAAAATATACAAAACAATAATCTTGCCTGTTGTTTTGTATGGGTGCGAAACATGGTCTCTCACTCAGAGGGAGGAACACAGATTGCAGGTGTTTGAGAA